GGCGGCGCGGGGGCCGCCGCCCGGCGCCATGTTGGGGTTCGCGGCCCCGGGTGCTTCCGCTGGGGCGGCCGTGGAGGCCGCGGTGTGGCGGGACCCTGCGGGCACCTTGGTCATGCCTGGGGCAAGCGATGTGACAGGGTGTAGGGAGCGACCTGAGGGAGCGTAGGATGAGGGWACCTGGCCCTCCTGGATGTTGGGAGACGCCTCTGTGTGGAAGGAGCGGGAGGCGTCGGGGCGGCTGCCCAGGGCCGTGGTGGCCTCCCCGTGCGGGCAGCGTGCAGGAAACGGGCAGGTTGGGCACCCGGGGCCGTCGTTCAGCAGCCCCGGTGGTGACGGGCTTGCGCTTGGGCTTGGTCATCTTGAAGGGCTTTTCCAACTGTCATCATCCAATGAACCTCTTCTTGGAACGATTCTTGGAAGCGCTGCCAGAATGGCCCTGCGTAGCCCTCAGCACGTGGCCGTGTGGTGTGTGCTACGTGCACACAGCCATATAGCCCACAAATAACTGCACGTAACRGGTTAAACGTGACGCGTGCTGTGCTTGGGTGTCATCCTCGCCATGTGCTGCCCTGGGCTTGCTCGAGTTCTGTTGTGTTTTGGTAACTTGGGTTTAGGTCCCTGGTCACATTCCCAGATACTGTTTGCCTGTGACCCCTCAGAGCGATCAAATCATAGCAATTTTATTGCAATAAAGGGAATATTTATGGCTAAGCGGGAAAGGGGACGTGTTGCTGAACTTGTTTGTAGCCAAAGCGAGCGATCTCGTGAGCAGGGGCTTGCCCATGAATAACCGTGGTGCCCTCTCCGGTGCTGCACAACGGGTTTTACTGCTGTCCCTGGGCTTTGGTAACGTATTGACAAGAGAGGAGCCTCGGGGAGGAAGGAATCCAATGGTCAAGTGGGACAAGGTCATTCATATGCTCCTTTGAGCTCTCTAAAATCAAAGCTATCTCATAACATTGAACAGTTGCTAACTCTTATTTTTGTTGTTTTGATTGCTGCTCAAAGCTTCAACGCACTTGACCATCCTTGTGTAAAATAAGCAGTTTTTTGCTGGAGGAGACTGGAACTGTTTAAAACTAGAGGGGTTTGTTTTTTGTTTGCTCCTCATTCCCCTCATGCCTCTTGCTAAATACAATTAACAGTGGCTGACACAGTAATCAATATTATGGAATATGTGCCAGCCTCTTTACCCTCTCTTATTAATTGAAAAACAAACCTACCAGACCCTTACTAATTGCTATCCATTATGTAAAATTTATGAATGGAAGCAGATGTTTCACAGCTATTCCAGCTTCTCCAGCGAAGGTTGCTTTAATGCTAGGGGGAAAAAAAATCTACTTCAGAATTACTAGGTGAGGCATTAATTTAATGCAGTGCTTAGGGACGCGCTTTAGCAGCCCTGGTGCTGAAGGGCTTATGGTTGGATTCGAAGATCTTGAAGGCTTTTTCCAACTGTAATGATTGTGTAAGATCCTTAGGCAAAGACTGGCATACCTTGTCTCAAAAAGTGGAGGTGGCAGCTTGGTTTGTGACTTCTTTTTTGCTTTTGAGCTTTCTRTTTCGGGAGGGCTCCTTGTTCTGTGTTTATTTTAGGCTCACCCTTAAGACCTGATGGTCTGGGATTATGAGACCCACTCGGTGATTTTTGTTTTCAGCTCCTGAAACTGAAGTAAATGCAGCTGCCTGCACTGATAGCCCAGATGCAGGCTGCACGGGGTGGAACTAAAAGCTGYGGTAGGAAGTTTCTCCCTGATGCATGGGGTTGGCTCTAACAGAGCACTCGAAGCCCTGGCAGACAGATCCCTTCAGCTGCCGGTGAAGTTGTGAAGCTCGAGTCTTGTAGCCTTTGAATCTGGGCTGCCTCCGAACATCCAGGCTCTTAGTGGACTGCAGGAAGGAATGGAGGGGCTGCAGGGCTGTTCCGTGTCTTCATTTTCCGAGCTGAGATGGATCTGTCCTCCTGTGTTCTYTTCTATGTGGGATAAGAATGAGATGTGGCTGTAACTGGGTTCAGAGGAATCTGGTCTTAAACCAGACTGGGGGGCTGAGGGCGCAGAGCAGAGGGCGGCGGGTCAGGGGCTCCTTCGCTTGCACATGGAGTGTCTGAGGGCAGCCTGAGCACCGAGCCCTTGCCGCTCRCTGTATGTGACCTGTATCTTAAAAAAGGCCTATGTCTAGTCGGGGAATTCTATGGGAATTCCATGGGAAAACGAGGCTGAGGCTGCATGTCAGGATGTTCAGTAGCTCCAGGTGCTTTCTAAAAACTCCCTCAGRAAGTCCATGTGGAAAGGGAATGCATCTGCATAGTGCAACTTCTATGAACGTGAGCAAATACTCCCTATATCATTCCAGATACCTTAGTCTTTTGKGCATACACAAGTGGCCCGTTTCTTTCTGCCACCCCCTGGGATTTTTAAAACAAGGTGAATGTGACCCCAGGAACAGGACCTGACACAGCGAACGGGATCAGAAGCTCTACTTTCTTTCTTCCCAGCTTGAGACTGATTAAAGCCACATGTGGACACCGTTGCTTTGCTCTCAGCTTCAGGTGCTGACAGAGAACAGGCTCAATTCACTCAAACCATAAAACTATTTTCATGGCCAGAGATTATCAGAGAAAACAGCAAAATTCAGAGTTATTGTGTTAACCTGTCTGCTTRTATCTTTGGAAGGATCTTACCGTAAATAATTACGGCTGTCAAAATACATAATGACACAAAGGCAATGAATAAACAAAAATAATGCAGACCTACACTGAGAAAGGAACCAAAGGCTTCCAAACTGAGGAGGGGGAACACAGKATTTGTGTTCCACATTCTCACAGTAAGGAAACGAAGAGGGAGAAATCCCTCCACGGCTTCCTTACCACAGCACGTTAAAAGACAAGCAGGATCTTTGGGCTAGCCGGGCCTTGCAGCTCCTGTTCTTTGTTCCAAAAAGAACAAAAACTCACCAAATTATCCTCAGCGCTTCTGCCTTAACTGCKGTTAATGCATTAGCATGTTTTGGTGGTAGAACAGGCTTCTTCACAGGCTGCTGTGCCTGTAAGTAATTGTGGATAGTTTAGTATTTAATAGCATCGTTTAATAGCCATTATGAGGCTGTTAACGTGGCAAACTGCAGCGCAGAACTTGTTTCAAGATGAATTTTGTCATCTGGAAGCTCTTGAGATCCTGTAATAAACTAGAGAGCTCTCCCTGCGCTCCTAGGGATTGTTCCTGGTCCTTGTGGATATGTGGGATGAGTCGCGGTCAGCAGGTGCCCCGGGTGTTAAAGGCTGGGCAGAGACCCCTGCCACCCGCAGTGTGACGTCGGGGAAGGTGCTGCCCTCCAGAGCTCCTCGCTTGGGGACAATTCGGCGCTGCTGCCGGGCCCCGGAGCAAGGCAAGCTCTGCCTCGGGCTCCGCTCTGGTTCCGCGGCTCCTCACGGCTGCGTTTGCAGGTAGGCCTGGTGAGCGGCCGGATCCCGCTCCGCAGAGCCAGAGAGCTGGAGGACGCGAGTGCGGGTGCTGCGCGAGGGGAGCCGTGCAGGGCCGGGAAGGACGTCGTGGAACGGTGCCAAGGGCGGCCTCGTGTGTTGGGTTCGCGGGCTGTGGTTAGCCCCGGGGGAAGCTGTGGCCCATAGAAACTGCTTTGCACGGGGCAGCTGCTATAGTGTATATACGTATATATGCAGCCAGATGTCTTGGGGCTGTGGGCTTTTAATGCACAAGCCAATCACTTGTGGATTGTGTGCTCTCTGGGAGTGAATACGCCTCTTCCCAAAGCTTTGGTGACACTAAGTGTAACTTTGCCTACAAGATACAACCGTATCTATGTAGTGTGTAAAACCCCCATAGATGTGCTAGCGCGTGGCAAGGAGGTGCTCTGAGACSCCGAGCTTTGTGTGGGAAGCTGGGGCCATCACTGGGAAGCTGAGAGGGTTGGTAGCAGAAACGTCATCCTCAGGAGTGTCTCGGGCAGGCGGGATGGAGCTGAGCCCTCTGCTCTCTTGGAGATGACAGACGGCAGAGAGACTGTTTGCAGCTGCCCTGCGCGCCTTGTGTGAGAGACCAGGCAAGAAGAGCTGCTGGGAACCGAGCCCTTAGTTCTGCGGGGGGCAGCCTGCATCCTGAAGCTCCCCCTGCCACGAGAACAGCTCCTTCCTGCTCCTGTTCYGGCCAGGGAATAGGCAGCAAGCCCTGCAGCTGGTCCCGCGTGTGCCGGTGTCTGCTGAGCCGCGGCTCGGCTCGCTCCTGGGACRCTTGCTTGGGTCCCTCTCTTGTGGCCGTGTGACAACCTGGGCAAAACCTATAGGAACAAGGTGGCCACGAGGCCCACACGCCGTTTGAGTGGAACTGAGGGCGCAGATCCCAGGGCATCGCTGTGGAAATACCGCTCCATGAGCGGAAAGGCATTGCTGGGAGTGAGGAGAACAGTGATTAAAGATTAATCACACCCATGGGTCATATTGTATGGAAGTTTAAGTATTCTKTAAGTGGATTATTCATATGTAAACTTAGTTTGGGGGAGTTTTTTGAAGGGCACAGAAATACATATGGAAGAGTTTTCTTGAGGARGTTGCTAAGTATCGTATGTTTTTCAGATTCAATATTTTTCACTATTTTTAGGATAGTGCATAGTTGCTAAGGCCTGAGGTTGGGGCTGTTTCAAACTTGGTTTCTTAGACCTGTTCTTGCTTGACATTTAGGTAGTACTATCAAGTGCATAGGGCCAGTGAAAGCTAAGGTTTAATGCTTAAAAACAGCTTAAATTTTAAGTTTATGACTGCTTTTTGATTCCTGGCTTCCCAAGGGTGTCCTGATAGACCCTCCTCAGTCAGTTCAGCTCTAAGCCTCAGCTCAGGAAAGGAAAATGACTTTTATGGCTTTGCCTAATTTTGTTAAGGGAAGGAAAAGAGGGAAAATAAAGAGGAAAAAAAAACAGGTGGCCTTGTAGCCGGTGTCCCTCCCCCTGTGCTTCCCACTTTCCCATTGCTTTGGGGTTCCCCAGGRATTTACGTTACTTCTACTTAGGTGCTTCTTGGCCAGTGGTTGGTTTTGTGCTTGGCCAAGATGCTTCATCCCTGCCGTGYGTTCCTCAGGCTTGAAGAAGGGATAAGGGAAGAGCCTAGGGGATGTGCTGGTCCCTTGGGAAAACCAGCYCGTGAATAGATTGATCCCCGAGGCCCCTTTTCAAACGGGTGCTCCAGAGACTGGACGTTTTACCTGGAATGCCTCGTTTAACAGGCCACAGAGGCTGGTTCCCTGGTTGTCCTTTTTTCCGGGCTGATTCRTATTGACAGAATGGGTGAGCTCTGTCAGCGCTGGGCAAAGCTGCGTTTTGATTTTATGGGATGCTGTGGTTGTGTCAGTGGAACAAAATAAAACACTGTATTGATTTCGGAGGCTTGATCTGTTAATGCTTTTGCAGTTATGACAGTTGAAAAACTAATGCATTGCTGGAAAAAGAAGTCTACTTCAGTGCAACTATTTTTGTTTCATTGATTTTTAACTCCTTAATGCAGTTACTTTACATAAGATCTGATTGCCAGGCATCTGTAACAGTCCCCTAAAAGTTGCTCACCCCGGTGTGTGCAGACAGGAGACAGCAGGCAGGGGTGCAGAGCCCCAAATGCTGCAGCTGCAGCAGTGAAATCCGCTTGCAAACTGCACGTGTTGTCTTAGAAGAACGTTGGTATCTGAAATACTTAACTCTCCCTTTTAGAGATTATTAAATAAATTTGATTATCAGGACCACATTTTAGTTGCTAGCTGAAGAATTCCTGGAGACTTTGCCCTTTAGAGACCACAGAGCTGCTGTAACAATTTTCCTGCACGGGACATTAACTGCACTTGCCACATATGCAGCCACAGGCCCRTGTGTGCGGGCGCTCGGAGCGGGCAGCGGGCGGAGCGCGGCGCCCGTAGGCGGATCCGCGTTTGCCATGCGGATCCGCGTTTCCCACGCAGCTCCCGAGGAAGCCGCGTGTCTCTTGCAGGGGACGAGGGCTACCTGTGCCGCGTGACGCTGCTGGCCGCCGAGGAGGAGCCGCTCTCCTGGGCCATGTTCCCCTTCCCGTACCTGGCGCGGGCCGAGCCGGGCGCCCGCAAGGGCTCCCTCGTCTACCGGCTGGTCGCCCGCCACAGCCGYAACGACACCAGCGGCGCGGCCATCGCTTACGCGCTCGTCGCAGGTGGGTCCCCCCCCAAACACCTCGAAGTGGCTGTGAAGTTGCGTGTTCCTCTTGACGTTCCCTTTGGTTAATAGACTTTATCTCTTGGAGGATCCTTTAAAGTACAGTAGCTGAAGAATGAGGTGCTGTAGGTAAAACTGGTGTGTGGGTGGGAGTCTTGGTACCACGGTCCCGGCTTTACATCTGTTTTGAGATTTACTCAAAAGCTCTCGCAGGTAACTCAGGGCTCCATTTCTCGCATATTCCTGTGTCCTTTGCACTGTGCCATCAATAAAGCCCATTTGAACGGTGCGTTAAGGTGAGCACCCAGAGGGGAAAAAAAAAGAGGAAGTGTGTTCAAGGACCTAGATGGTTTGAGGATAGCTTACCTTGAGAAAYCCCAAAGAATGAGATGTTCTTGCTGCGGGGCAACTTTCAGACTGGCTTTTTACATGTTTCGGTAGGTGGCGAAGAGCGGTTCCAGGTGGACGTGGATACGGGTGTCATCACGACCACGGGCTTGCCTTTGACGCGGAACAAGGAGTACGTGCTCACCGTGCAAGCCACGGATGAGCAGGGCAGCAAAAGCCCCTACGCCTCCATCTCCATCCTGGCAGGCGCCCGGCCGCCCCAGTTCACCAACATGTCCTACCGCGTGTTCGTCCCCGAGAACACGCCGGCCGGAGAAACGTGAGTCCTTGCACTTCCTGCTTTCACGTYCATCTCTGAAGCAGTTTCTTTTTTTGATCTAAAATTTCAAAGAAATGGGGAAAAAAAAAAAGCATGGTAGTCCAGTTATCTAGATAATTGTAAAATAATAATTACTGTTCTTGTTAGTAAGAGGTTGAAGTGTGTTCATATCCCTGCTCTGCTACGTCAGGAGGTGGGTTTGGTGACACAGTGGGGGCAGGTGGTTCTCTGTAGCGTGAGTAGTGTTGGTCGGAGGGTAAAATGTACAAATGTACATGTACAAATACCTGAGGGGAGAATGTAGGGAGGAAGGGACCAAGCTCTTCTCCGTGGTGGCCAGTGACAGGACAAGGGGCAATGGGTTTAAGTTGAAACCCAGGCAGTTCCATCTCCAGGTGAGGAGGAACTTCCCCACTGKGAGGGTGACAGAGCCCTGGCACAGGCTGCCCAGGGAGGCTGTGGAGTCTCCTTCTCTGGAGGTCTCCAAACCTGCCTGGATGCCGCCCTGTGCCCCRTGCTCTGGGTGTCCCTGCTGGAGCAGGGGATTTGGGACTAGATGATCTCTAGAAGTCCCTTCCAACCTCAACTATTCCATGATTCTGTAAAAACTGAGCATGGCCCTGATGAAGGCAGGGAGTTCACCTGTTGAACGTCCGGCTCCGGCTGCAGTCGCCTCAGGGCGAGGGGCTGTCGCTTGTTCTCTGCAGAGTGGCCGTGGTCGARGCCGTCTCCTTCCAGAGCCAGCCGCTGTCGTACGCGCTGCTGCTGAACCCGGGCGGGCTGTTCCGCGTGGCRCCGGCGAGCGGGGAGCTCAGCCTGGGCCGCGCCGCCGACTTCGAGAGCCAGCACCGCCGCTACCGCCTGCTGCTGGAGGCGGCCGAGGCCGCCAGCGCCCTGAGCAGCGTCACTGAGGTAGGGCAGCACCCCCGTGTCCCCTGGCACGCCCGAACCCCCCGGGGCAGCCGTGTGTGCGACCAGGAGGTGCTGCCCCGAGGCGCCTCCGGGGAGGGGATCCTGCCCCTCTCCTCAGCTCTGGTGAGGCCSCMCCTGGAGCATTGGGGGCAGTTCTGGGCTCCCCTGTACAAGAGGGATGTGGAGCTTCCAGAGAGGGTCCAGCGGAGGGCAACCAAGATGATTAAGGGACTGGAGCATCTCTCGGATGAGAGACTCTGAGTGAGTTGGATCTGTTTAGCCTGGAGAAGAGAAGGCTGAGAGGGGATCTGATTAACATGTATAAGGTCACGAAGGGAGAATGTAGGGAGGAAGGGGCCAAGCTCTTCTCAGTGGTGGCCAGTGACAGGACAAGGGCTAATAGGTACAAGTTGCAACACTGGCAGTTCCATCTCCATGTGAGGAGGAAATTCTTTCCTGTGATGGTGACAGAGCCCTGGCACAGGCTGCCCAGGGAGGYTGTGGAGTCTCCTTCTCTGGAGGTCTCCAAACCCGCCTGGATGCCGCCCTGTGCCCCGTGCTCTGGTGTCCCTGCTGGAGCAGGGGGTTGGACTAGATGATCTCTAGAGGTCCCTTCCAACCCCAACCCTTCTGTGATTCTGCCCTCGAGGTGCCCGGTGCTGTTCAGGTCGGGTTCGGTTCTGGGCTCTGCTAGACGCTGCCCTGATTATTTATCTTGGGCTCTGCCTCCCGACTGCCTGGARCGGGAAGCAAATACCCATCTGGGTTCCAGGAGCAGTGTGAGGAAGAGTGGAACTTTGGAGGTGCCAGGAGGGGACAGCAGCAAGAGCAGCGGATGCCCAGGCAGTGTTGGAACGAGGTGCCTGTTGGCCTGTGGGTAGAAACTAAACTGCTCTCTTGGCGTGTCCTTTTATCTCAGGTCCTGGTCCACGTCACTGATGAAAACGACTGCTCTCCCGAGTTCCAGCACTCCATCTACAGCAGAGACAAYGTTCCTGAAACGATTCCTGTGGGCACTTCCATCCTGCAAGGTGCTTTTGTAGTCTGTAATACRAGATGTTAAACAACCTATTACAACTTTTTAAACTGAGACTATTGACTCTCCAAAAGCAGAGGTATTTTTGKTTTTTTGGCCAGTTAGCAGAACAGTATTTCACAGCTCTTTTTGAAATCTTTCTTTCCTCTCCTTTTCTATGCTGAGTTAATATTCTGCGATTCTTCCTCCACAKTTTGTTTTTGCCTTTTCAATGACAGTGCAGGTGCCTGTTGGAGTGTGCAATGTGCTTGCCAGGGCTCTGGAATCGTGTTTGTGCATCACAAGAGAGTTTTTGCTGCTGAGTTGGCTGCATTTGAATCTTGTCRGTAGTGTAAGGAGTTTGTTTAAAAATCGGTGTTGGTGTGAGCTGAAGCCTTTCTGTTTGGCAAGATGACAGGATAACTGGAGAGGTGAACTCCTGCTCTTAACGTGGCTTTTGATGCAGGGTGTGAGCTCTGCTGATCTGCTGCTTCTCAGCAGATGGGAACCTGAGCGCACTACATAAACACTTGCTGGGAAAGATGTTTAATTATCCGTTGTACCTTGAAATGCCAGGTAATTAAAATGTACTTTAGCTATGACATAGCTGGGAGCTAATTGAATTTGAACAGCATCCCTGGAGAGAGCAAGGGCACGGTTTGTGACTKATGATGTCCTAACGATGCACGTATTGATCGTGTGGTAATTACCAGTGCCCAGTGCTCCGTGYGGAGCCTGTCGCCTGCTGTTGGGATCACTGCTCCCTTCCAAGCCCCGTGCTGTGATCAGGCTGGGCCGGGGCAGGAGGAATCGGGTTGCTTTTGTTTTTCCTCCCATTCTCTTGCTGGATTCCTGGAACTAGAGTTCCAGGAAGTCTAGCCATAATACCATAAAAATAACACTTTAATGTACAGGGCAGATTTGCACRATTGCTGTTCTCAGAAAAGTCTCTCGAGCTTTTTAGGTAGGAAATAATGTACCCAAATGGCCTTTTCAGCCTGTTAAATGTTCTGTTAAATGTTTTTTCTAACAGTGTTCGCCACGGACGGCGACTCTGGCTCCAACGCTGAGATCATCTACTTCCTTCAGAGCGCCCATTTCTCCATCACGCGGCAGGGCGTCATCAGCTCTGCCCAGAGGCTGGACTTTGAGCGAGCCAACCACATGTATGAGTTTGTGGTGATAGCAGTGGACAAGGGCCACCCCCCTCGCACAGGAACCGCTTCGGTGCGAGTTCGAATGGCCAACGTGAACGACGAGGCTCCCGTGTTCTCCCAGGCTGTGTAAGCTGGTTTAGCACTTGCCTCTTTCCACAGCTAATGTGTGTCATCATAATAACACTCGGATTAATGACCACCTTGTTTTTTTKTGCAGTAAGTCCCAGGAAAATTAAGGGCCAATTTGTATAGGGAAAGACTAAAGTCTTGCTTCTAGATTGTATCAAGAAAAGGAGTACAGCAGTAGTGATGCTAGTAGACGGGCTTGTTGCATGAGCTCTGCTATGCAGAGATCACGGAATGAATAAGATATTTAACCCTGCTGGGAGCAGTTCTTACCATGTTGATCCTAGATCTGAAGGTGATTTTTCCGCATAAAATATAAAACAGATGAGGGTGGTAATTAAGAAACATTAAAACTAATCTTATCATTAACAGATCTTATTATAAACTGATTCCATGAGACACTACTTGGTTAAAAAGCTTTCTTCTTTCTTGAATGTATATAATTACTCTTTTTTTGCATATGTTCACATTACACCATTTTTTAAATAAAAAATATAAAAACATGTATTTACAAAATGAAATACTGCTTTGCATTCACTTCTCTAGCATCCAGTGTTTTCTGCTAATATTTAAGGACATAAGAAATACTATATGATGCATGTTAGTCCTTTTTCTCATCCTTAAGAGAGGAGATAAGTGATTGTGGTTTGCAGTGCAATGTAATATAATGCATGTAGGTACCTTCTGAAAGATGCTTTGAAATCCTAAGTGTCAAATCACTGCATTACAATTCCAAAATGCAACTTTATGCCAAATTTGCATGTCCAGAGCTTTGTAAAAATTGCCAGTCATATGAACTTGTAGTCAGTGGCAGGGTATTGACCTGGCGCTGGTTATTCGGGCCGTGACTGTGCTGCAGCTCTCCCCTTGTGCATCAGTTACAGAACTTTCCTTTCGGAAGATGCTGGTCCCGGTGCCTTAGTGGCTACTGTTCGGGCAAAGGACCCTGATGGAGACGGGGTGTCTTACCTGATAACGGGAGGTAACGAGGAGGGCAACTTTGAATTGGATAGGCAAAAAGGTAAGAAAAGAGGTTGTAAACCACTGTTATTTACTATCTAATCTACCTTGACTCTGCTTCACCTTTGTGTCAAGAATTGTAAGTAAAGAAAATGCTCTTTTCTGGTGATCTGGAAATGGGGGTGCCTCATGTCAGTGCAAACTGGTTCTCTGATGGGAGTTTCATTCTCCAAATATCAACAAAAGTTTGAGGCCCTGGTCCAAGAGCGGCATTTTCTCAGATCACTGACTCCTGTGCTTTGCAGTCCAAATTAAACCTGATGGGATAGTATAGTGACAGAGAAATGTAACATTCTCTTGATTATTTTTGCTGCTTTGTTTATTTACACAGTAAAATAGAAGAATTTTTTATTCTTCTAAACGTAGGTATCATTAAACTCCGCAGAAACCCGCTGCCGAATCTGAAAGGGCCGCAGTACACGCTGAACATTACTGCAGTAGATGACAATGTCTCGGGAGGACCCGCTCCCCTCAGCAGTTTTGCTGAGGTTATTGTAGCAGTTAACGATATTAATAACCACAAGCCTGTCTTCAGAGAGGTAAGATACCTGTTTGCTTAGATAGATGGCTAAACTGATCTCAGATAGATGGTCTTTTCCTGCCTGTAACTGGGCTTGCAGACTCTTCATTACCTGATTACTTGTAGATTACTATATCTTCATTACTTGCAGATTTAAGGGACACTGTTTGCAGAACAGAATGAATCTGTAAGTGGGTCACGCAGTCAGTTTATTTGATACTTGAAGAGTAAAGTCTTGTCTTTTTCTCCTTTAGAACTGGATTGCTCAGTGATCAGAAATACTAGAAGTGCTTCTTGTTTTCCTGAGTTCTTCTCAGATGCAAAAATGCTTAAATTGGGAGCCAAAGCAAGCAGCCCCGTGTAACAGGGCTGGCTTTGGGGTGTCTCTGCAGTGCGCTCGCTACAGTGACAGCACGTGGGTCCTGGAGAACCAGCCGGCGGGCACGGCGGTGCTGCGGGTGGAAGCCCACGACGCCGACCTGGGCCTCAACGGGCAGGTCAGGTACGGGCTCCTGCACCGCGACGGAGCTTCGCTGGGCTTCAGCATCGACCCACGCACCGGTCAGTGGCTTCCTGAGTTCAAATCTTACTCTGGTCGTCTTGCTGTTGTGTGAGTGTGTGCACGTGGGCTCATGCTGTATCAGTGTAGCTGCTGCATTAGCTGTAGCAGTTTATGGAATAAGTACTGAAAGAACCTTGGAGTATGTGGATAATATGCATATAGATGATAATGATCTAAATGCCAAATGATGTAGGGAAATAAACCCCAGTTCATTATGAAGATAAGAGGCTATTCTGAAGGTCTTATTTTCATATTGGATTGAGTGTAACTGTATAAAAAAAAAAAAAAAAAAAGTAGAAAATAAACAGAGTAGAGAATGAACATTTAGCAGTTAAAGTTTGTGCTTCCCTGATAGTTTATTATCACCTCACACGCTAATAGGAAGTGCAGTGTAGTGTGCATATAGGCAGTACGGTCATACTAGGAGAGGACAGTGACAGACTTCAGATGAAGGAGGTGGGTATTACAGAATCCCAGAATATTCAAGSTTGGAAGGGACCTCTAGAGATCATCYAGTCCAACCTTCCYGCTCCAGCAGGSACACCYAGAGCACGGGGCACAGGGYGGCATCCAGGCKGGTTTGGAGACCTCCAGAGAAGGAGACTCCACAACCTCCCTGGGCAGYCTGYKCCASKGCTCTGTCACCCTCACWRKRAAGAAGTTCCTCCTCACCTGGAGACGGAACTKCCTGTGCTYCAGCTTGTGGCCATTACCCCTCGTCCTRTCGCTGGCCACCARTGAAAACAGCCTGTCCCCTTCCTCCCTGCATTCTCCCTTCCTGAACTTRCATTAATCAGATCCCCTCTCAGCCKTCTCTTCTCCAGAGGAAACAGGCCCAGCTCACTYAGCCTYTCCTCRTACGGGAGATRTTCCATTCCCTTAATCATCCTGGTTGCTCTTCTCTGGACTCTYTCCAGCAGCTCCACGTCCCTCTTATACTGGGGAGCCCAGAACTGCACACAGTACTCCAGGTGCGGCCTCACCAGAGCTGAGTAGAGTTGTTAAAAGTTGTTGAGGCTTCTGTGGTTAAAACACTCACGTGGGATGTTCGCTGTGCAGTGTTTGGGCCTCAGCAACAGAAAAATGCTGGACTAGCAGAGTGAGAGGGGCATGAGGAAGCCCCAGGAAGGCTGGTTTGAAGTTTCACAGACAGAAAGAAGAGCTGGGAGAGGGAAAGACTTTGTCAGTGGAGAAGAAGCTGCCTTTGGGAGGAAGTYGGGTGCTGTGTTAGCTGAGTCATGTTGCTCAATTCCAGCTTAAAGCGAGGCAGCCTCCAACTTCCGTAGCAAAGACAACTCTGGTTGCATCGTTTAAGCCGGATGGGATGTGACTTTTCCCCAGAGTAGTAACAAGCTGCCTTGGGCTGTCTCTGGAAGGAGGAAGAGAGAGTATCTCTGTGCTCCAAGAGGAGTGAAATAACAAGATGCTTAGGTGGCCAAGTAAGGGGCAGCAGGGGAGAGAGCTGCTGGCAGTAAATGGGCTTGGGAGGAGCTGCTGGCTGTGTGAGGAGGCCTGGAGACAGGCAAGCTGTAAGTTGTAAGCAACAGAGATGATTAAGGGAATGGAGCATCTATCRTACAAGGAGAGACCGAGTGAGTTGGGCCTGTTTTCTCTGGAGAAGAGAAGGCTGAGAGGTGATCTGATGAATATGTGTAAGTGCCTGAAGGAGGAATGTATGGAGGAAGGGGCCAAGCTCTTCTCCGTGGTGGCCAGTGACAGGACAAGGGGCAATCCGTACAAGTTGAAACACAGGCAGTTCCATCTCCATGTGAGGAGGAACTTTTTCACTGTGAGGGTGACAGAGCCCTGGCACAGGCTGCCCAGGGAGGCTGTGGAGTCTCCTTCTCTGGAGGTCTCCAAACCCGCCTGGATGCCGCCCTGTGCCCCGTGCTCTGGGTGTCCCTGCTGGAGCAGGGGGTTGGACTAGATGATCTCTAGAGGTCCCTTCCACCCTCGGCCGTTCCGTGATGCTGTGAAGTGGCCTTGTGCGAGACGTGGTTGCGGGCTGGTGTGGACGAGCCCGGCGGCTCTGCGGCGTGCGCGGGGGCAGGACGGGCTGCAGCTCCAGCCCCAGGCCCGGTGCTGTCCCGGCCAGGAGGTGTCTGTGTTGCCAGGGCTCATCACAACCACGCGGAGCTTTGACCGGGAGCGGCAGAGGGAGCTGACACTCTGCGTGACGGCCACGGACCAGGCGCAGGAGCCGCTCACCGGCCTCTGCCGCGTCGCCCTCCTCGTTGCCGACGTCAACGACAACGACCCCAAGTTCGAAAACAGTCGCTACCAACGTGAGTGGCTATTAATTTCCTATCCCACAACATGAACCTGTTTAGAACTTCCATAACAATGATTGCTTTTTAGGTGACCAAACTTTTTTATTTGCTGCCTATTAACCCAGTTACTGCTTACCCTRTTCCCAGTGGAAACGCAAAGAGTTGGCGCTGTCCTCTTTAGAGCAACAYTTACACATTTGTCTGCAGTCCTGAGGACCAGGCACATCTGATGCCCCTTCTGTGGCTTTTCCCTGTCCAATTTTTTCTGCATGCTGATTTTTTTTCTTCAGTTTCTTGAAACAAAACATGACATTTTAGATGAGAAGCTGTCAATTCTAACTAGAAAAACTCTTGCCGTCCATGTCTTTCTAACACAATGCCCCCCTGTTCAGATAGGCCAGAGTGGTGTCTATCTGCTGTTAAACAGCTTGAAATCTTGAACTTGTAGCCTGTGAGCGACTGTTCGCCCTGATGGCTCCCATAGCTGTGCTGCTGAGCTAGCTGCCTGCTCTGTCCTGGTGAGTCCCTGTTCCTTCCCCTGTGTGCAGTATTCACGTGTCCTTGGTTTGATCTCACTTGCTCTTTCTGCAGTTGAACCCTGCACACCAGTTGCTTTGAACTCCCTGCGTTTGGTGTCACCCGKAAACGCCCAACAGGCTCCCTCGTTGCTGGCCGAGGCCAGACCCTTCCCTGCGTGTCTGCCTCGCCAAGGATGGTAGCAAATGGTTGGGGGTGCATGTGATAAACCCATTCCAGACGTGTTTTGCTAGTTCTGTGGAAATATTTTGTAGGGCAAAGCAGTGACCTATGCATTATTAAAACAAAAATAATTTGGAAGCATGTCCTTTTTTAGTATCACATAAGCCAACAGTTTAATAGGATTGGGAAGGAGGTATGGGTGAGAGTGACAGTGTTGTAATAAGGAGGAAAGCGATCTTTCTGGATAGAATCTAGATATTTGTGTATGTTTAAGAGTTGGGCACAAGGATAGGAAGAAAAATATTTTATACCTGTTAAAGATAAGTGTCATAGTAGTTGAGATGGCCTGACTGAAAAGAGCAATTTCTGCATCCCTACCAGGGGACTCTTCAAGCCTGACCAAAGCAGCACTGAGCATCAGTGTGAATGATCTCACTGGAGAGAAAGAGGGAAATATCTGGGGGCAGACAAAAGCAGCCCTTGATGTAAGGGTAGTGTATGTGCAAAGATGAAGCTTTCTTCGGGCTGCAGAGGGAACTACAAGTGACCCTTTCTTCTTCTTTTCCCAAAGCAGTGAAGCTGTGAGGTTGCATTTTGTAATCATGACAACTCCGGCACTCCTGAGAAAAAAAGACTTTTTTTCTTTTTTTTTTTTTTTTTTTTTTTTTTCCCCCTCCGCTAAACATGGAAAACTAGCAAAGGTCTTGTAGAAAGGCAGTCCTTTGGGATGGGAAAAATGCACCTGAGGGCACTTGATCGATAGTATTTTTCAAGCATCTGTAGATAGTAATCAGTGTTTGCTGGTCACAGAATTAAAAATAGCTTCCTCCCTAACCAGATCAGATGCCRTCAGTCCTCGGTTCCTGTTCATCCTGGAAACTCTTTAGTATTTTATTCGTCTGCACTAGGATACTGCTTAAATCCCTGGTTTAAGCCCTACATCCTGTATAGGAGACAGTCATAAAACAAGTGCTTGGCCGTACGCAGCGAGGATGGTGCAGTAATTGTGTACTGYTTATACATAGTGTACGTACAGTAATGTATGTAGGATAGCACAGGGTATAGTAACTGAGTGCTCTGCCAGCAGCGAGCAGAACTGCATCAGGTGGGACAGAGTGGCCTGAGTAATTGTGAGTGTTTTTGTACAGTGTGATCTAACAAGATTTGGCTATAACAGCATAAATGTAAATACAGGACAAAGRATATTTTATGGCACTTCCTAACAGTAAATTCCACTGTCATTTATTTATTTCAGTGTCAGCATCTCTCTTCTGAGAGCAGCTTTGGCTGTCCTGGCATAGCAGGGACATTAACTACAGGCTGTTTAAGTGCCAGGGSGTTGCGCTGGTCCTGCCCCAGTTCTGCTCACTGAGCAGCCAGCACTTGGGGTGCTACAAGGTGTCWCTGCCCCCGTGCCAGAGACTGGAGATGCTAAGGGGGAAGAAAGCAAATCGGAAAACAGGACCACATCACTGTGTAAATGCTGCATTCACTTCTGATTATTCCATCTCAAAAGGATATAATAAAATAGAGGCATAGATGGGAAATGAAGAGTGGGAAGTGGTTTCTGAGGAAGGAGTTGTCTGAGCCTAGGAGCTCAGGACTGAGGGGACCGTTTCGGCACTAACCTGGTGGAGTTTCTCTCGGAACATGGAGTGACGTCCAAGGAGGGTCAGGCAAAGAGCAGCGGCTGCCTGGAGAAGGACGTGGGGCTGCGTGGCTGAGCGTTGGGGAAGAGTTGGAGCAAACCCAGACCAGAGCAAGTGGAAGATCTTGGTGCAGAGAAGACATGGAGCGGGGTGGAGTGTGACAGCTCTGTGTGTACAACCGTGCCTAGTGCTGAGGAGGAGTGACTCTCTGCTGTTTCTCATAGTTCTGTAATGTCCCTGCCTAGAATTGAGCTCTGGGCAGACAAAATGAATGACTCTTCTTTACTTCAGTGCTTCAGCTGAGCAGCCTGGTAGCCGGAGATGTCAGCTGTAAAACTAGGTCCAAAAAGGGTTTGATCTATCCTAGGGCTACTGCCACTGAGACATGATCCCTATGTCAGGARGTCCATAAGCCCTTTGGGAACGGGGAGACCTCTGGAAAGGGGTGTATAGATGCCCGCTATGCCTTGGCCCCAGGCAGCTTGTCCCAGGGCCTGCGGCTGCTCTGTCAGGGGGATCTTTCCTCGGAGCTGAATCTTCYGACTTTGTGGTGCCCGGCTGCCTCCCAGTGGTGCCGCTCCTCTTGCTGCTCGCTGGGCTCGGGATTAATTCCCTTGGTCAGTAAGTGCCCCTGGTGCCAGGCCGCTGTTGGCAGCGGCTGAGCCCGGAGCCAGCGGTGCTGTGGGAAAGCAGAGAGGCAGCACGGAGCAGCCCCCTGTTCAGCATCATCTCCTTGGGAAGCGCTGGGGACAGCGGTCGTTCGTGTGCCCRAGAGAGGATGGGGCTGGTGGGAGGCAGTGCCGGCCCTGCTCTGTGGGGCAGAGTCAGCCCAGCAAGGCTGTAGAGCAGAAACGTCGCCAGGAAAATGATAAATCTGCTTCACTAACAGCTTTCTTAAAACCCCAGCATCTAGGGGAAGGGAAAGCTAAAAGAAAAATGTGGGTATTCTCTTAGTGACAACACGACCTCCTTACAGAAACATTTCATCTCAAGTGAAAGGGGACTCTTAAGTAGCAAAATCTTTCCCTCTTTTTTTTGCATGTGTGAAACCAACTGCTCTGAAACAGCAGTTTGGTGCAGTGAAGAAGTGGCTCAGACTAGCCCAGGTGTTCGATCTCTTCCAAATAATCAGTGAAACCCTTTGTGAGGGATGTCTAAAGAGTGGCCCGGAGTTGGGAGCCTTGGTGCTGACTGACCTGTGAAGATCCCTCTTTTGTCTGTTGCTTTTTATATGCAGGACTGTTTCTGTAACACACAGCTCCCATGGTTAATGGAGCAGTGCTCTGCTGCTGACAATGTGTTTGTCTTCCAAAGATTTCCTCCGCGAGGACACTCCAGTGGGGACGAGTTTCCTGCACGTCGTGGCTCGGGATGACGACCAAGGTGTGAATGCTGCCATCACGTACTCGATGCTGGAGCACCCTCTGGGATACTTCCGGATCAACCCCAGCACGGGCTGGGTGTCCTTAAACCGCCCGATCTCCCAGGTAACTTGGCAGAGCGCTTGGAGCAGAGCAGCCTTCAGCCCTCAAGTCTCTTGCAGAGCGTTTCCTGCAGCCCCTTGATTTCACGACACGGTTTGAACCTGTCCTCAATCTCCATTTCGCAGGCGACGCGCGTTACCTGCTTCGTCGTCGCCACAGATGGAGGCAACAGAAGCAGCACAGTGGAGCTCACCGTGGCCATCACGGACGCGCTCAGTCAGCCTCCCCGCTGGGAGCAGAGCCCCTACTGGGTGACAATCCCCGAAAACACCATCCGTGACACCACRGTGGTGGTATGTGACCAGTACGATTGCTTCCTTCCCTCTCCTTCTCCCTGCTTCACCTTCTCCATGTGTATCCAGGGACACCCCTGCTGCAAAGGGGTTGCCTGGTGCTGCTGCCCTGCCAGCCTCGCCAGCTGGAGGCTCCTGCCTTGTCAGGAATATCTGTTGCAGAATGAATGGGCATTTTTCCCAGTGATCCCTAAAACCAATGCCGTGCAGGGTGTGCTCCCACGGGCTGCAGGTCTCAATAAAAAGTGAGATCCAGGCTCTGTAGCAAATCCTTGGGTGTTTGCACCMAGGGCTAGCTTGTCTGCTCCTGCCTCCTTCTTTGAGATAGAAGAACTTGCTTGAGTGGGATAGAAGAACTGCTTGAACTGTGCAGCCTGCCTGGAATCTTTCCTACAGCTTTTCTCCTGTACCTTTAAGCACCGTTGCAGTTTGTGGCTCCGTTTTGGCGGTGGTTTGTGTTTGGAGCTCTTCTATCCCCAAACAGACTCTGTACAGGCTTGTTCTTTGGGACTGGGCTCTTCTGTAAATCGCTGATAACGCCTGCCTCCCTCCTCCTGCATGTGATATCCAGGAGCTTCAAACTGTTCAGCCTTGTTCGTGTCACACCTGGGCAAGAGCACAGCTTGGTAGAGGGGCAGCCTCATTTGGCATCACTTTTGGGGTGGAAGGCAGAGAGAGGAGCAACTTCCTTAGCCAGTGACACAGTTCTTGTTTGGCACATTACAGGCATGCTCGTTACAGGCAACCTAAGCAATGTCCAATGAAACCCAGCTCTGCAGCATGAAAGCAGATGGTTTCTCTTTTATCTCTTATCATTCTCATGCCCACCCAGTTCTCGCCATCAAGCTGAACGTGCAGCCCTTGAGCACTTGTTCATATCATGATTTTTGTCCTTCCTCAGACAGTGAAAGCCACCTCTCCCCTCGGCGACCCCCGGGTGACGTACAGTCTGGAGGAGGGGCAGCTCCCAGAGACGAACATGCCCGTGCGCTTCTATCTGAAGCCCAACCGAGCTGACGGGTCTGCCTCTCTTCTGGTCTCTGAACCGCTCGACTTCGAGACAACCAAATCCTTCACTCTGAGAGTCCGGGCACAAAACGTGGCCCTGACTCCTTTAGCTTCCTTTGCTACTGTCTATGTCAATATAACGGGTGAGTACCGCTCTTGTTGGAGCAGTTCATTCAGCGCAATGTTTCTGATGTTTTCAGTTTGAAACCGTGAAATGATGAATGAAATACATGAAATGAAAAGAAACCATGAAATACCTGAGATTCCTAGCCACCTACAATTTCTTTGAACAGTTCTAGTCCTGTAAAAGGAACTGTACTGTCATAGAAACATGTATTTGGACACAATCTCTAAGTGCAACTATAAAATGTGGAAATGGTGCCAATGYAAAAATGTGCCATGTGAATGTTTACACAGCACAGTAGCACTTACCTTTATGAATGTACCTGCAAAGTTTTGATAGAGAAATTTARTAAATCTCCTCATATTGTTGAAAAGAGGCTTGTATTACTGGGAAGTTTCTATGTTGTAGAAAGAAAAACAATGCAGATAGACTATATCAAATACAAAACCAACCTCTTTTTTTTTGTCTTCTGCTATTCAGCATTGAGGCTTAACTTTAATTTAAAACTGTAGAAAGGAAATTACGAAGTTGAATTTCTCYCCAGAGAGTTAGCTTTCTGTCAGAGCAAGACAAGGAGCAATCTCACCTTGTGGTGACACAATCACTTCAGCCAGCCAGTGGGAGGAGGATCCTGTTGCTGAGAGCAGGATGAGAAGGTGGGAGGATCAGTATCAACCCTTCAGACATCTGCCCAAGGTTAGACCAGGGGAGGCTGATGTGCAACAGAGGCCTGAGTAGTCACTGGGCCCTACAGCCTAACACAGCTCTGACTAGTGCCCTGGAGAGCTCCTACCAAGACCTGCATTTTTCATCAACTTTAGACTTTGCAATTTGCTTTCCATTGTGTGTTAATCACCCGGTGACACCTCACTGAGGTGAGCCACAGTGCGTGGTTCTGCTGTAGGCTTCAGCAGATAACCAGCTCTTCACAGACTAAATGAGGGCCTGCTAGTCCTGACGTTCATGGGCTTATTATAAGACTACTGGTCAGATTGTTAGCTAGTGACTTATCTGAAATTAGCTTTCTGTCTCCCAGAAATGGCTCACTGTCTATAAAATGCCTTCTGTCAGATGCCAGGAAAATGGGAAGACCGAAAGCAGGACTGCTGCTTACAAAGAGCAAGGAGTTCTTCTAGTGAAAAGATACAGTAAATTACATGCAATTTAAAAAATTGTTCCTGCATTTTTACTGTGGTCCCGATCATCTCGTTTTGCAGATGTGAATGATAACGTCCCGTTTTTCGTGTCTTCCACCTATGAGGTGTCCGTGCCGGAAGGAGCTGCTGTCGGCACACCTGTGGTGCAGGTTGGAGCTACAGACCTGGATTCTGGCCTACACGGAGAGGTTTGACCTCATGTCCCGTTCTTTTCTTCCCTGCATACAAGCTTTGCATTGTGATCACTGACAATGCAAACAGATGATAGGAGGTGTCATASGTATGCTTGGGTCTGAATTCCATAATATGAGATGTAAGCAGAGAGGTTCTGTTCACAGTTTTGGGATCCTGGGTCATAGCGACTCATGCTGACCCAGGATGCACAAAGTGCTGGTGTCTGAGTCTCCAAGTTGCTCCCATGACGTGAGGACTGGAGGAGGCTGCAGACTGTGTCTCCAAACTCTTGCCTCTTTGACTCATTACTTAATGTTTGACCATCCGTGCCATAGTAACCCAACCCAAGGAAGAAGGGGTGTTAAAAAGGGAGCTTCTGCTCTTTTTTGCAGATTTTCCTGAGCCTTTTTGAAAAATCCTGTAAACTGTCTGTGAGGGAACTCTGGCTGGTGAAGATTGCTYGTTTTGTAATTGGTGGTCTGCAGTTTCTGAACTTACCACCTATGTAGTGGAACTGTACATGGCCATGCTTTCTGCATGACATGTAGATAGGGGTAGAAATGTTTGTTTTTCAACAGAAGAAGCCAAAACGTTGTTAAAGAAGTAGAAATTTTGGTCAACTTTCAAAAATATCAACATTCAGATATATGGCTTGATTTAAAAAAAAAAAAAAAAAAAAAAAAAAAAACTGAACGAGACTCTGAGTCTCATCCCTAATTTTTTGCCGTCAGGATGTGCTGCCTTGCTAGCAGCCGGGCAGGTGGTGCTAGGGAAGGTGTCACTGCATGTCATTTCTTTGTCTTTCTATTATTCATGACTTTGCTTCACTGTTACAGCTGGAGGTGAGATACGGGGCTTTGGCCTCACTGGTACAGCTGGTTTTCTCTTCAATGGTTCTGATTTTTATTTTTTCTTTCAAGTGGACAGACTTCAAAAAAATCTCTCCAAATAAACGTACTCAAAGCATTGCTGCTTTGCAGAGTCTCGGGAAGCGACTGGGGAGGCATGTGTTGGGTGGGGAGAGCACAGCCCTTGGCTGTACAAGTGAAAATGGAAAACGAAACCTCCCTTAACTGTTTGCTCCTTAGGTTCGCTACTTAATATTGAAAGATGCAAGTGAGGATTACAAGTTCTTCACCATGGAGCCCGAAACAGGAATTATTTCTACCCGCGCATCTTTTGACAGAGAGAAAAGAGCCTCTTACTTGCTCGAAGTTCAGTCTCGGGACTCTTCCGAATCAGCGAGACCTGGTGTTCATGGGCAACCCAACATGGGTAAGACTAGTAAGAACTATGTACAATATTGGAAAAATGATCTCAGAGCTTGGGTTCCTTCACTTTTTGGACCCAAGATGTGTGTGGGACTTGTGGAATAAAGGAAGATGTTGCCTCCACCTGTGCCATTTCTGATCTGCCCCTCACCTCTCCTTTCAGACACGGCTTACGTAAGGATTTTCATCAGCGATGTGAACGACAACGCTCCCGCCTTCCCTCAGGCCGTGTACGAGGTCAGTGTGGGCGAAGATAGGGAGGTTGGGAGTCCTGTTCTGACTGCAACAGCAAATGATGAAGATGAGGGTGAGTGCACGTCTCTGTTTTAGACCTGCTAGTAGGACTGCGCCCTGCTTGGCAACAGATCCTCGTCAGGATCCTCCCTCATCAGGAGACGAATGAGCATTCCAAGCATTTGCACAGGAGAAAAGATCAGTTCCATCCACATGAGTTCCTTAATAAAAGGAAATGCTTTCGAGTGTCATATATAGGATTACCAGAGTTTGACAATATCTCCAGGATGGAATGAAGTCACCTAGAGTTATAACCTTTCTATTAGCTTCACAAGCACAACTCACTGCTGACAGCATGCTTAGCTAGGGCTAACTGCAGTGCTTGTGGATCCTTGTGAACCAGGCTCACTGCTACAAAAAATCCTCCCGTGTGCTTCTCATTGAGTCAATYATTTCATTATGGAAGGATCTGATGAGCAATAGAAGATGTGGRRTGATGTAGGTAGATGTGAAGGCAGGAATAATGAAGGGAAAGTGAGAGATTTGGATCTCCTTCCTGGGCTGTAAGAATCCAGTACTCTCTAGATAGATGATTTTTTTTTTTTTTCCCTCCCCCAGCTAATGTGCATGTGGAGAGTGTAATATTTAATGTGAAAGTTTACTTATGTGAAGGCTTTTGMTGCTACACTGGATTTTTGATCTGGCTGAGTGTTACACTGGTACTGCAATTTCAGTACATTGCTGTAAGTTACACTCAGAGCAATGGATGTGATTTCCATTACCCCTCTATGTACTGCATTTGCCACCCCTGTTGACAGGGAGGAATAGCATAGAATCACAGGATGGTTGAGGTTGGAAGGGACCCCTAGAGATCATCTAGTCCAACCCCCWGCTCCAGCAGGGACACCCAGAGCACGGGGCACAGGGCGGCATCCAGGCGGGTTTGGAGACCTCCAGAGAARGAGACTCCACAGCCTCCCTGGGCAGCCTGTGCCAGGGCTCTGKCACCCTCACTGTAAAGTAATTAACTTGTTGTCAATCAGGACTCCCAAATGCTCCCAGTTAGGGGGTTATTCCTCTCCACATGCAGGACCCTGCACTTGTCCTTGCTGAACCTCATGAGGTTCCTCTCTGCCCAACTCTCCAGCCTGTCCAGGTCCCTCTGGATGGCAGCACAGCCCTCCGGAGTGTCGGCCACTCCACCCAGCTTGGGATCATCTGCAAACTTGCTCAGGGTGCCCTCAGTGCCCTCATCCAGGTCATTGATGAACAGGTTGAACAGCACTGGGCCCAGTACTGACCCATGGGGGACACCAGTGTGGGGCAACACATGGGGCAACATACAACAACATACAGGGCAAGACAAACCTGTTGCACCAAACAAAGCGAGCTGATGCCTCAGTGACACAGCCCCGGAGAGCACAGAGCAGTGTGTGCCAGGGAGCACGTGGCAGTTAACTGTTCCCTTCAGCAGCAGAGCTTTAACACGTGTCCCTCTGAGTGCCAGTGATGGAGAAGTAGAGATTCAAGCCGCCGAGAATGAGGCAAAAGCAGCTGGTAGGGGACCCAGGGGGACAGGCTGCAGAGGGAGCCAAGTTCTTCCAAGCACAAATGTGGAGCCTTTTCACTTTCGTGCCATCCACATTTCTGCGCTCTCCTCATCCGCTGATAGCAAAGCAGTGGCCATGCTTTCTGCTAATTAAACAATAGTTTAATCTAGTTAATTTGGGAAATTATTTTTCTGTCCTAGCGTGTTGGATGAAGAGACAGTGTCATGGATTTTCTTTTCAAGGACAAGGCAATTTTCCATTTTATTCCTGAACACTTTGCAGCAACCAAATAGCTATTGTTCAGGTTGTCYAAATGAAAAGCTCTGCAGTGAGATGAATTATGCCTCAAAATAAAGGGGTTTTGTTATATATTAGCACCATCCAGTGGTTAAAAAAGAAAAAAAAGAAAAAAGCTAAAGGGTATGGGGATTTGAAATGGGAAGCTTAGGAAACATTAAGCAAAGTAGCTTCTAATATTTTAATAGTGCCTTACTTAGTATTTGTGGTAGTAAAGGAATATAAGTGAAACTAGAAGTATACAATTCCTTCATTGTCAGTACAGAGGTGTTTGACTGGGTGCACGTGCTGCCTATTTGTGGGTGTAATGCAGTCCCCCCTCGATGTGCTGTGCACAGGGACCATGTGCCATTGCTTTATCTCCCACACAGCAGCCTGGGCAGCTGAGGCTGCTTTGCACACGCGTCTGCTCTGTGCGGCTCTGCATTCAGGGTCACACACGCAGGGTCTGCACAAGCACTGTGATCACTGGCTTTCCCTGCAGGTGCGAACGCCAGGCTGAGGTAYCAGATCACATCAGGAAACGTGGAAGGGGTTTTCGATGTGGAGGCCGAGGCGGGCACCGTGGTCGTTGCGCAGAGCCTGGATTACGAGCAGGAGCGGCGCTACGAGCTCCGCCTCGTCGCTTCCGACGGCCGGTGGGAGAACGAAACGCGCGTGGTGGTCACCGTGGAGAACAGGAACGACGAGGCGCCGGCGTTCGCCCGCAGCGAGTACCGCGGCAGCGTCCTGGAGGAGCGCGCGGACCTGCCCGCGCTCGTCCTCAAGGTGAATCCCGCGGCCCTGGGCTCAGCCCGGCCTCGTCCAGCTGCCTGCGGGCAGAGCTGGTCTTGGCAGGTGCCTGAGCCCTGGCTCTGGTCCATTCAAATAGCGGTTTTCTGTAAGGAAGAGAATTGAGTGTGGTTACGTCTGGGGGATGGACTTTCTCTCCTGAACAATAGAAATGTAGAATGCTTTATCTTTCCAAAGCACACGAGGTGTTACATGAGCAGATTTTGAGAGGCTAYCTATGCTTGTCAGGGTTGGCACAAGCATGCCTTATGTGTTCAGTTTACAGGCTCTTTCCTCAAAGTTATACTAGCAAGCAGAAGATGCCCAGGAATGTTCCTTGCCTCTGGAACTGGCCATCTTTACAGTTCTGTTGTTGGAGCAGTCCCAGGCAGAGGCCTGCTTAGCCCAGCTAGTGCTCATGGACGAGCCYTGGAAGCACATGAGGAACAGGGAGTTAGTTCTGGCCAGGGCTAATGTCACCTTGAACGTATGGCTACCAGCTTTGGAGGGTGAGGGATTTACGTGGCCTCCTGTTCCCTATGAGGGACAATCCCGACTTGCCTTTTCTATTCACCTTCTTTTCCAAAAAATTTGCTCCATAGATCTGTTACTATTTCCACGTGGTACTTACTGCAACTATTTCTTCTTTCCCCTATATACTGGGAAGTAGAACATACTGGTCTCTCTAAACATGATATTGTTTCTCTGGGCTATGCATAATGTTTATTGAAAGAGAACTTGATCTGAATGGCTCAAAGCGATACATGTTTGTTGCTGAAATGTGTGCTACTTATTTAGCCTGCAGAAAACAGGCTAATTTCAGTGAAAGAGCAGGGACTTCCCATTCTCTTTTGCACAGACTTACAGGCTGTGGTTTGTTTTAGGTTTCTGCAGAAGACCCCGACCAGGAGGCCGATCAAAACGCCATTATCTACTCCCTGCACGGACAGGGGGCCGGCAGCGAGTTCAGCATCGATGAGAACACGGGCGAGATCAGTGCAAACACGAGGCTGGACCGTGAGAAGCGCTCGACGTGGCGCTTCCTCGTGCTCGCGACCGACGAGGGTGGTGAGGGACTCACTGGCTTCGCAGACGTGATCATAGAAGTGAGGGATGTGAACGACAACCTGCCCCTTTTCCTCTGTGTCTCAGATGGTTGTTTCACAGGCTACGTCCCTGAGGGTTCCCCAGCAGACACCTCTGTTATGGACATGACAGCAGTGGACCTCGATGACCCAAAGGCTGGTACAAATGCTGTCCTAACATACAGAATCATTCAAAATGTCCAAAATGAAATAAATCTGAATTTGTTCTCCATTAACTCGGTTAGTGGCACCATCTATACCATGCTGGGGTCCCTGGACAGGGAGAAGGAAGACAGGTATCTAATAGTGGTTGAGGCTAGAGATGGAGGGGGTCTCACGGGCACAGGCACAGCGACCATCCTGGTGTCCGACGTGAACGACCACGCGCCCGTTTTCCTGCAGAGTGTCTATACAGCCTTTGTCTCTGAGAATGCCAGTGTTAATACKGAGGTTGCAGTAGTGTCTGCCGTGGATAAAGATGAGGGAGAAAACGCCATGGTGACATTCAGCATCCTCGATGGGGACAACGATCACAAATTCTCCATAGAGACAGATAAAGTGAACAACTGTGGGCTGATCCGGCTGCGAAAGCGGGTTGACTTTGAGAAGCCTCACGAGAGGGTCTTCAACTTGACCGTGAAGGCAGAGGATATGGATTTCTTCAGCACTGCTCACTGCGTGGTCTATGTGGAGGACTCGAATGACCACGCTCCTGTCTTTCACCCCCAGTACTATGAAGTGGCAGCGCTGGCGGAAGATGTCCCGGTGGGCACCAAAGTTGTGCAGGTTTCTGCCGTCGACTTGGATTCTGGCCTGAATGGAAGGTTTTCCTTCCAGCTGCTGAGCCAGTCTGACCCGGGYGGCCAGTTCTCGGTGGCGGGGGACGGCTGGGTGGTGGTTGCAGGGCCGCTGGATCACGAGGCCGTGACGCGCTACAGCCTCGTCGTTACCGCCACCGACATGGGGCAGCCCCCTCTGACGGGCAGCGCCACCRTTTCGGTGACTCTGCAGGACGTGAACGACAACGGGCCCGAGTTCGAGGCTCCTTATAACCCCGTGGTGTGGGAGAACACGGCAGCTCCGCAGGTCGTCCGCGTGAACGAGACCTCGACTCTGCTGTACGCGAAGGACCGCGACTCGGCCGCCCACGGAGCCCCCTTCTCCTTCCGCCTGCTGGGCGACGCCGCCGGCAGCTTCAGCTTGCAGGACCTGCGCAACGGCAGCGCCCGCCTCACGGCGCTGCGCTCCTTCGACAGGGAGGCGCACAGCGGCTTCCGCCTGCCCGTGCTCCTGGCGGACAGCGGGCGGCCGCCCCGGAGCTCCACCTGCACCCTCACCGTCACCATCGGCGACCAGAACGACCACCCGCACTCCCCTGGCTACGTGGAGTGTCTCATTTACTGCTACGAGGGTAAATGGCCCGCTTTTGCACAGTGCTGCATCAGGCCAGAGGAGCTGCCCCTCTGGCTTGCTCCCCCTAAGCTAATACCCTGGGAATTCCCCCTAGGTTAAGAGTTGCCCTAAGCTTAGAGCTCAGCCAGAGCAGTGCGATGTGGGGCACCGCTCTGCGCTGCTTGGTCTGCAGAAGAGGCTCAACCAGGTTCCATGGAGGAGGAGAGCTGGCTCCTGTTTCCTGCATGTTTCTGTCACACTTGAGCAATGGTCCTTGTTTTCATGTGCAGTTTTCCAAGAGCATTAACGTTTCAGGAACAAAACATATTAACGAAGCTCGTAATACTGCTGAGAAGCGATGAGTCTTAATACTCAAAGAACATTTTCCTCCTCCAGACTGAATTCAATTTTACTGAGTACTGAATATTAGTATTACTGAGTACTACTGAATATTAGTTCAGTGTTTAGTTAGTTCTTAACCTGGGCTCATATGTGAATTGCCTGAGACATTCGTATAAGCCTTCAGCTGACACCTGTTGTTGTGGGGGAATTTTCTATGAATCCTGCCTTCAGGCAGTGGGGCAGAGCCCACCTTCCTCTCCCGGCCTTTGAGAGTGGTTTGCTGTTGTGATCCGGTGTTCCTACATCATGAGCCCAAAGCCAGTTAAATTAACCTGGAGTACTGTGTGCAGTTCTGGGCTCCCCAGGACAAGAGGGATTTGGAGCTTCTAGAGAGACAGGCAACAAAGATGATTAAGGGACTGAAGCATCCCTCGTACAAGGAAAGACTAAGTGAGCTGGGCCTATTTAGCCTGGAGAAGAGAAGGCTGAGAGGGGCTCTGATCAATATGTATAAATAAGGGTGAATGTAGGGAGGATGGGGCCAACCTCTTCTCAGTGGTGGACAGTTAAAGGCAAGAGGTAGTGGGTGTAAGTTGAAACACAGGCAGTTCCATCTGCACATCTCTAGAGGTCACTTCCAACCCCAACCATTCAATGATTCTGTAAATGACCCGGGTGTAAGTGATTCTGGGGACTTGCCTCCGTGTGCGCCTAGGTCATTCCTTCTCCAAGACTGGTGCATGTCCTCTGATTTCACAGCATGTTAAATAGAGTGTCTGTTATGGACACACTAGAAAATATTTCCATAGAGATGCTGCTGCACAATTATTTATACTGAAATGTTCTGTCAATTGGGTGCTAAGTGTCAAGTTCAGCTTACTGCAAAGCTGAAAAGTCTGATTGCTTTTTTGCAGAGAAATTATGTCAGATAATAAAGATCTCTGCTTGTAGCCTAGAAAAGTGGACTATSAGGTCTTCTCATTGTACCTGAATATACCTGTCTCTTTAATAGAGTTTATGCTTTAAACTCTGTGCTCTTAATTCTTGGGAGGGATTGTTCAAGGCTTTGAAACTGACTTTAAAATACAAAGGTGAGGGCCAGATCAGAAGGCTACAGCTGCGTTGCCCATTGCATTAACATCTTGCAGGAGTCAAACATCAGAGCATTGTTTTTGCAGTCTCCTGCAGAATCCCAAATGCACATTCGTATAGGTGCAAGACAGGCTTCAGGTTTCTCTTTCAAACACAGCCTCTCAGATGCCAGGGTTTGTGCTGTTCACTTTTACAAGGTGAAATCTCGCTTTTTTTTTCCCTCTCCTTTGTGTCTCTTCCATTTTTCACACAGAAGGTCTGTGAAACCAGACACCTGCAAATCTTTCCTTCAAAAATGGCYTTTGTGAAACAAAACAAAACAAAGCAAGCTTGTTTGTGAGCTTTCCTGAGAGGATTTAAGAATGTCAGAGCACCTGCTGCTTTCTCACCCAGAAGTCTCACCACCAACTCCCTGCTGTATTTYAGACCACTTCTCTATCTTGATGCAGTTTCCTCCAAACTGCTGTTTTCCTTTCCCCTTTGCAATCCTGTCAGTGTTTTGAATTTGTTACCCTCCTGAACCCCAGACCTTTTCCTATCCCTGTCCAAACTGCCCTACAGTTGGATGCTGCCACCAAAACAGTGAAAATTAATAGTTGCGGCATGGTGATTGAGAATCTTTATTCAGCAATGGCTTAGGTTTTCCTTCTTATCTGCTTTTTCTGGGCATCCTCCTATTGAACTAAGTCTGGGTAGCCATACAGCAGACACCCACTATGCAGGGCAGAGTGTGGTCTTTACAAACCATTGCACAACTCCGCCGGGGAATCACCACAAATATTTCTCTAGATGTTTTAGACTCGAGGCAAACGGGTAAGACTTGAGTGGCCTGGTTGTGTACGTGGTGCCTGCRTGTGGAAACGTGAGAGGGTCCTGACTGTGCCACTTCTGCCTTGTGTTGCTGTAGGTGTCCTCCCCACRACTGTACTGGGCCAGGTTCGTGCCCCTGATGATGATGAGTGGGATCACAAAATCTACCAATTTGAAGGAAAAACGTCAAGGTATGTGGGGGAAAAAAAAAAAAGTTGGGTGAAAGGAAAGAAAACCTTCCCCCACACACATACAAAAATGTAGATCATATTTAAATAATCTTTTTTTGAAGACAAGTGTGCAAAAGCATTTGTTGATTATAAGTTTGTTTGCAGCTCTCCAAAAGCCCTCCTGGCTGTGGTAGCACAATCAATGCTGGGTGCTAAGCTCATCCACCCATTCCCTGCTGCTCAGGGGGCCCGTGGTTTCTGATGAGGCTTTTCTGCTGCAACACTACTGCAAAGGCTGTCCCTTTGTGAGGGAATATAYCAGCTGTCTCTGATGGTTTCCCCCMAAAAATAAAACAGTGGTTCAGAAAAACATGCATGATCAATATTGTAACTCAGCTGTAACTTTTCATAGCTTTTTCCTTACCTTAACTCCTCTTACAGGTTCTTTATCCTTGATGATAACTCAGGATTGCTGACTATTAAAGAAGGAACCCCGCCAGGAGTTTATAATATCAGAGTTAGAGTCATTGATGGCGTCTGGCCAGATGTGGTCTCGACTGTAAAGGTTACAGTGAAGGAGATCAAAGGTGATGCCCTTGATAATGCTGGATCTATACGAATAAAAGGTAAGCAATGTGATTAAGCACATGTTGAATTGTAATGCTGAAGTCTGCCTCTTCAACATGATGGTTGTGTTACTTATAAATCTAGTGCTGCTAAACTTATGATGAGAGTTTATAGCTTTCTACATGATGACTYGAAAGTGCATCATTGTTTGCATGGTCTTCTGGTGCTCTATAGGGATGCACATCCAAGGAAGAAAAAAACAGGAAATGCTAGTTTGGTGCAAAAGTCACAGGCGTGAGATTTCTCTACCAACTTTGCAACGCAACAGCAGTTAATACTTAAAAAAAAAAAAAAAAAAAAAATTTGTTTGAACAAATGGCCTGAAATTCACCAAATTACCAAATTACTTCAATCTTTGTACAGGAGTAAAACCTTAAATATGGTTCTGATTCAAAAGAATTCTCAAAAAGCTTCAGAACACAAATCTTGTGGCAGAATCCAGCAGGGAACATTTCAGAGTCTAGAAATGAAAACACTGGTGGATTTGCAGTTGAGTGCTTTTTCTGCAGTGTTAATAGTTCGTTCTGTGGTGCCCCTCTCTTTTATTGCTGTAACAGTTGTAGCCTCCAATATATTTGTTTGTCAGGATTTGAAATTCTATTACAGATATCACTCCAGAGGAGTTCATATCCCAGCTCCCTGAAAAAGACAGTAAATACCACCAGATGAAGAAGCTCATTGCAGAAATCGTTTCGGCCCAACTGGAAAATGTTCACATTTTCAGTGTGTTAAAAAGCCCAAATCAAACTCGAGGGATTGATGTTTGGTTTGCAGTTTATGGTCCACCCTACTATAAGGCAGAAAAACTGAATGGCAATGTAGCAGTATCCAGAGCACGGGTAAGTGGGTTTAATTTGTGTGAAACCACATCATCTAGTTATTGTGTCTGTTTGAGCTATACGTTGCCTGGTGAATGTGCATATTTAGAGTGACGGATTGAAGGGGCTGTATGTGRGAAAAAATGAATGACTCTATTCAGTAAAGTCAAACAGTCCTTTAGCRCTTTAATTAAAATTTCAAATATGAATGGTTTAAAAAAACAGCCTATAAATGCATACTAAGTCACCGTAACACACTGAGTCAACTTTCCTTAAGGTGAACATGTTTTTTTTGTTTTTCTATTGACTGTAAAAACAATTTAAAAGATGTGTTTGGCTGTTGTGTTTCTACATGTTGTCTTAAGGTTTTGATTTATATTCTTCTACACAGAAATGTTCTGTAAGCAAAACTCTTAAATCTGGGTTCAGTCAAAAGTCCAGCTTCATGATTTGGTAAAATAACCATTCCACAAAAGAAAAATAGCTTGGAAGTGTAAAATTAAAGTCCTACCCCTTGTGAAGAAGGAAAAAAAAAATAGTTCTGCCAGTGGCTAAACTRCTTGCTGTGTTTGACATGTGTGCATGGGTACACATAGATGTGAATACAGTAATGTTTGCAATCAGTCCTGCATTAGTAACTGACTTGCCGGTAAAGGTATTTCTGCATTGTACAATACCTGCCTTTCTTCCCCAATCTCTTTAAGACAAAAGTCCACATTAAAAACAGACCCAGATACTACATAGATAGTCTCCCAAAGCTGGAAGTAATTTATTCACTCCACTTGTGATTAATTTCCCCAGACTTTTGTCCTTGAAATATTCACCCGCACAATAAATGACTTAGAGCAGGGCTTTTGGCATAGCAGAAACCAGGCTCAACTGCCCTGGGCTGGTGGAAAGCAGCGGTGCGGCAACCAGGTTAGAGAATAAATAMAGACTGTGGCCGCCACCGGTAATTTGTGCGTTTCCTCTCTCTGAAGAAACTCAGATGAATACAAATCACTGTCCTCCACAGCTGGAAAGCGCCCTGGACGTCGCCATCGCGCAGGTCGGCATCGACGCGTGCGCGGCCGCCAGCTGCGCGCAGAGCGCAGGCTGCGCGAGCAGGCCGGAGCAGG